TTGAGATACTAGAGGCTTGGTGCACAGATTCGTGCACTGGTAGGGTCCCTCGGCCTGGCCTGTGCCCTCTCACAATCCAGGACCCCACCAGTGCATGATCAGGGCCAGAGAGGGCCCACAGGAGGGCTCTAGGGTGTATCTGTCCTGTCTTTCCCAGTCCTCTTTGGCCTGACCTGAGCAGCAAGCTAACCTACTGGTTGAAGCTTCTGCCCCTTAGTGGTCAGTGTGTGTCACAGTGACCGGTTGAACGGTCGAATGGTCACTTAGGCTTTTATATATATAGATAATTCACATACCATACAATTAACCCATTTAAAATATATAATTCAGCCCTAGCTGGTTTGTTTCAGTGGCTAAAGCGTCGGCCTGTGGACTGAAGGGTCCCAGGTTTGATTCCAGTCAAGAGCACATGCCCGGATTGCAGGCTTAATCCTCAGTAGGGGGCGTGCAGGAGGCAACCAATTGATGATTCTCTCTCATCATTGGTGTTTCTATCTCTCTCTCACTCGCCCTTTCTCTCTGAAATCAATAAAAAATATATATTAAAAAAATAAAGTATACAATTCAATAACTTTTATTATATTCACAGAGCCGTGCAATCATCACTACAATCTACTTACAAACATTTTCATCATCCTGAAAAGAAATGCTGCATTCATTAGCAGTCATTTCATTTCCCCAACTGCCAGCCCCTGGCAATCACTGATGTGTTTTCTGTTTCTATGGATTTGTCTGGACATTTCACATGACTGAATATGTGGCCTTTTGTAACTGGTTTCTTTTATTTAGCACAATGTTTTCAAAGTTCATCCAGGTTGTAGCATGTGTCAGCACTTCATTTCCATTTACAACTGAACTAGAGGTCTGATGCACAAAATTCGTGCAAGAGTTGCCTTCCTCCCCCTGGCTGCCGGCACCAGCTTCCCTCTGGCACCCGGGATCCGGGCTTCCCTCACCCGGGCTTCCGGCTTCATCCGGAAGGTCACCCAGAAGGATGTCCGGTCTAATTAGCATATTACCCTTTTATTATTATAGATAATATTCTATTGTAGGGATAGACCAGTTTGCATATCCATTCATCCACTGATGGATATTTAGAACAATTCTACCTTTTAACTATTGTGAACAATGCTGCTATGGACAGTAGTATACAAGTTTTTGTTTGAGTACAAGTTTTCAGTTATTTTGTATCTCTACCTAGGAGTGGAATTGCTGCGTCATAAGGTAACTAACTCTACTAGTATATTAGCACTTTGTGGAACTGCCAGACTGTTTTCCACAGCAATGCATTATTTTACATTCCCACCCACAGCAAATGAGGGTTCTCATTTCTCCCCATCATCACCAACACCTGTTAGTGTCCGTCTTTTCCATTATAGCCTTCCTGGTGGATGTTGGATACTACTTGTTTTGTGGCCGTCAGACTTACAGCCACCTGCCACACACTCACTGTTCCCACTATCAGGAAATGTCTCCCCTTGCCACCACCTCCCTATAGCTGAGGGCAGACAAACGCAGTCCTCAGAACACTCAAAATAAGCATTCAAAATGATGGTTAGAGACTTCCAGATGTCTAAAATTACCAACCCTTCAGTGGATCGTGTTCCCCTGAAAAGACACTTCCAAAAAGACGCAAGCATAGGCTACCTGGGAAACCTCCCAGAGGGATCACCGACTCTTCATGTACACCCTTCTGGCCACAGTTCTCACAGCAGGGATAACACCACTGAAAAAGGTCATCCAAAATCTGCCTCCGGCCCTAGCAGATGTCATCAATGACACAACTTCTGCTCCAACAAACCAGGGGAAATGTAAATTCATTAGCAGATCATGAAACCCTGATTTTCTTCTTGGTTAACCAAGAAGCAAACGTTTCTTGCTACACTGATGTAAATACTTAATAAAGACCACAGATAAAGTAGAACAGTTCGTGATTAGGTTTTTTAAAAAAGCCACCTGCCCAAGCCAGTGTTGCTCAGTGGTTGAGCGTCGACCTATGAACCAGGAGATCATGGTTCAATTCCCAGTCAGGGTACATGCCCGTGTTGTGGGCTCGATCCCCAGTGGGGGAGTGCAGGAGGTAGCCAATCAATGATTCTCTCTCATCAGTGATGTTTCCATATTTCTCTCCCTCTCTCTTCCTCTTTGAAATCAATAAATATTTATTTTTCTATTTTAAAAAATCTTTATTGTTAAAAGTATTGCATATGTCCCCCCCTTTCCCCCATTGACCTCTTCTAGACTGTCCCTGCCCTCAATAAAAATATGTACTTTTTAAAAAGCCACCTGGCTCTCCAGGGAGAGACCAGCTGGACTTGGGTGGGGGTAGTGTTTTCATAGCCTGGGTTCAGCAATTGAGGCCCCTGCCTTCAGGATCTGGTGCTAGACCCAATAGCCAGTTCTATTTCTGATAATGGCCCATGTTACAGGTAGCCAATGTACTCTGTCCAGAGTCTTAGTGCAACAGCTGTCTTGTGAGAGGACTCAACAACTCACCCTGCAAGACAGCAGAGAGTCTAATCGCAGCCCAGCTATGACAATGTTCTCTGAACACCCTCCTGACCAGCAACACCTGGTATTGACAAAGCTCTGGATATAGTACATAGTGTTCTGAGGACTGCCTTCATCCACCCTTAGCTATTGGGGTGGGGGGGGGGGTGCCAAGGGGAGGCAGCTCCTGAGAGCAGGAACTGGCTAAGCATCAGAGGCTCTGTAGTTGGCTTAAGAGGGCCTTGGTACACTCCAGTGGACATAAACAATTTCACAGAACATCAGAACCAACAGGGCCGCTCTGCTCCCATGAAAGGCCAAGATAAGATCAGTCATAATTAGGTCTGAACTCAGACAAAAATAAGAATACTGTCCAAACCAGATAGCCCACTATCCTGGCTAATACAAGTGACCACTGCTTCTTGACCAACTAAAACTTTATATGTGTCATTCCTTCTGCCTTCTAGATAAGATTGATTACAATATCCAATCACAGAATTAGCCCTGGTTCCTGACAGTACCCAATCCAGAACACCCCCCCCCACCCCCAGTCACCTAACATGGGCCAAAATCCCATCCTTAAAGTCTTTTTAACGTAACTAACTCTCTTATGAGATGTCCCTGGATTCCCCACTGTGTCATAAGAGTTGAAAATTCAAGGGTTGCCTTGACATCTTTGAGCCTCACAGGGCCCTTGAGTTCCCCTGTTCCTTTTGGATATGCTCCCCAACCCCACCCAGCAGGAAAGGCTGCCCACCCAGCTAGTTCCCCCACCAGCCAGACCAGCTGCACTCCACCCCAGCCGCAATCTGAGG